TGGTGCGTGAGTGTGTTTGCAGTCCAGAAAGTGAAAAGTATCTGTATGAAAATTCCATGAAGAAATTCTTCTTTCTTCTGTATCCAGTAACTATCTTTACATTTTAGTGCCCTATAGTATCTTTTTACTGCTTTCACTGCTCTCTACTTAGTAATAGAGTTAAGGTGTGTGCGATATCACAAGATCTGTTCACAAGTAGAATATTTAGCTTTTAAACTGTCATTAACTTCTCTAAATCCACTTATGTAGTTTAACAGGTTTTTAAACCATTTCATTTCACTGGAAATATTTCAAAGATGACAAGCATCACTTCACAGATCTGGGGATATGATTGGGTTTCCAATCTCTATGACCCTGCATGATCTGGATTGTCCATCATAAAAATAACGCAAAATATTTTTCTTTGCTTTGGTTTTTTTCAATAGTTTATGGTTTAAAAAGTATTAGTTGAAAAGACAGGAATATGTTTTTTTTTAACAGTACCTGGCTCCAAGTGTAGCTTCTCCAACTTCTGTTTGGAAAAATAAACACAGAATGAGGATTTTAGAGAATGCATAATAATAGCAACCCCTCCCCAATGCCAAGATTGAAAAATACACAAATTCACCTATTACATTTAGCACTTTTTTTTCACCAACCACTGGAACTGCGTATTTTACACAGGTAATTTTTCTGGCACATTATAGCCAACTCAACACATCAGCTTCAGTTGGGTTCTCATAACTAACTCGGAACTTTAAAGAGGCCAATAATGTGTCTGTGTATCACATCAACTGAAGAGTGAAAAACAAACTTAGCTACTACTTGATATAATCAGCAGGAGAAAGAAGACATCAACAGTATGAGACAGCACAAACAGCGTAAAAATGGAGAAAGTCTTGATAGCCAAAAAACACATAGCGTTCTCATTTGACAGACACTATGCTGAGCAAGATCATGTATGTCTTGGATTCTGTTAGAATTTCGTATTACAGTCACGTTTCCTTTTTTGTAGTATGACCAGAGATTGAATACTGAAATACAGCTACATTCTCAATTTACCTTCATTTCAATTAAATCAGAAGAAGAGGCTTCTAAAGTGTTTCCATTTTCATCATAATCTTCCTAAAAGAGTAAAAAAGGAATGACAGCTTTTCTTACAGAAAGTAACATTAGCTGACAGAGAACTACTACCATATTCAATTTCCCCTAGCAACAATATGAAAAATATTTTCCAGCGTTTGAGATCTCAACTACTACCTCAAATTGAGACCCAAGAATGAGGAGCAACATATAAAATGTTCTTGACGATTAAATATTTTTCTCCAGTTACCTTTCATTTTCCTTTCAACATGACATTGTCTATTTCAAAGTTACTCCTAAAGAGGAAATTTAGTTCACATTTCTGCAGCTATTGTAGATAACATGTTTTCATTTTCCCACTTTTTTACTTCTTTAGGTTCTAGCAGAAAAAAAGAAGTTAGAAACTGAGCTGACTTAGGTTTCTACTTTTCTGAAAACAAAACACGCCTTTATGTCATGGGTTTGAGCCTGGTAAGTTTGTTTTTTTGCAAAAGCGGGGCCCTCCCCCACTCCCAGGCAGGAGCTGCACCTGCCTCTGGCCAGAGCCAGGCCCATCAGTGCCTCTACCGCCTCTACCACAGAGGTATTTAAGAGGTGACCCCGTTGTTCTTTCTCTCTCTTTTTGGTTTTGTCCTGTTTTGAGCTGTTTCATCTTTAATGTTTGGGAGTTTTTCTCCTGGAGGGGGCGGTAAGAGAACAAAGGAACGTCTTCCTGAGAAGGAAGAGGGGGCAAAGAGTCCCAGAGGAGAAGGAGAGGAGAAGACTGCCAGAGCAGGACCTTTCCCTGCAGCCTGTGGTGGCTGAGATGGCAGGAAGGTGATTGTCTGCCAGCCGGGGAGGCTGACAGCGGTGACTCAACCAAAGCTCATCGCGTTACGTGATTCACAACAGCTCTAATTTACAGAGCACCAGAAAATTGCCTTTCCGGTCAACTGGACGTTGTTGCAAAGACTCCGTTTTCAGAAGGTAAATGATAAGCTGAGACTGATACCACAGGCCTAAACCAAAATAAATAGAAAAACTAACAAAAAAAAACCAAACCAAAACCACAATGATAAGGAGGCAAGAAAAGACAACACGTCCTGCTTTGGGAGCAAACAGTCTAAAATAAAAATAAAAAAACCAAAAAACACAAGGACCCAAGGAAGGATAATATTTGGGAACTAAAGGTAACATGTAGATTACCCTGCTCAGTCAGTAGCAGGAGGCTGTGCTGCCTGTATAAGATATCATAAGTCACTCTCAAAACTAATTCAAAAGCTCGGCAATGTCAGAACACACAATACATCATATTTTCTTGGATTATTAATCTCTATGAGAAAACTGTACAGCATAAAATCTTTAAACCAGAGCATTGTTTCTGCAGAAAAGATTTCCAAATTATCTGTGAGCTGAAAACATACTTCCCCCTCCCTCTCTCTCCAAATATGCACATTTCTGGATGGTTGGGCATATATGTGTATACAGTTAAACATATACAAATGGGAATGAAGAACACCGAAAATAATACGTTACTCTGAATCCAGGCTTCTTCCACTGCAGGGAAAGATGTTACTGCAAGGTAAAGGCAGTGGGGACTCATCTACTGTGACCATTTCAAGCCTCTAATAGATCCAAGAACTGCTTAAAGAGTAGGACATGAGAGCTGTTAATGTGAAACAGAATCCAGCTCACATTGATGTTCCATACTCTAATACACTGAAACAACTCATTCCTGTGTCCATATACTTCCTAAATATCTTCTGAAAATTTATAAAGAAGCCTACTCACCTCATTTTCTGCTAGCGGATCGGGAAGTTCTTTCATTTCTACTTCAACATTGTCTTTATTATCAGACAGAGAATCAAGAATGTTATCAGGACTATAGTCTTCTCCACAGTCTACAGCACTGCCATTATCTATTTCAGCTTCATCTAACACACTAATATCCATCATGTCAATATCTTGCAAGGTATCCAGACTTGCTTCAATATCCTCCTACAGAAAGGAAACGGATAGATGTGTATTTATTGTGGGTTAAATGACGCGTATTCTCGGTAACAGCAATCACGATTTCACTTACCTGCCCGTCTCTGGAGTTTTCTTCTAGTCCGTTGTCTTCGACACCGTCTTCTTCCAGTTTTCTTCCTAAAAATAGCATCACTGAAGTGAGATGTAGTGCGAAATTTCACAAGACATCTACTCTTTGCTGAATTAATGATTCGACACGGAGTTTGTTTCAACAAATAATCATTAAGACCCTGCTTTGGGAGTACAGGTCTGTCTGGATATGACAGAGGATGACTTGCCACTTCATACAAGCGAATGGCATAGTCATGAACTAGAAGTAGCTCAGGTACATTTTTCAACAGCTACAGTCCTGTCACCCCACAACACTTCAATACCTAAAAAGACAATAGTGTCTAGGAAGTGGTTCCATTTAAAAGAAATACTCTATCATTGTCACATAAAACCTCCCTCTTACCATTTAAATAATTAAACTGATGTACAACTAGAATTGACTTTTAAGATTTTGGTCACACAGATCATATTTAGACACACTTGTCACCAGCAAACTTGTATTACTATTAAACAACAACTGCTCTTTCTCTATTTTTACACCATTATCTGTAAGAAAGTGGCTTAAAGCAAAGTATCTTTTCTGAGAACTGCTTATGATTAATTCAGACAAACCACATGTAACATGGTCCACGGAGTATTTAATGTTTTTGAAACAAAATATACTTAAATCACTAATGAGCTATTTCAGAACAGTTTATTTTCAAAAAAAAAGAGCTATAAAATGAAATTTGGCACTAACAAAAGTCATACACATTTATGCAACAATAGCTCTAATTATTCCCACTGTAATTTCTCTCATCTAAAAACATACCCCAGTGATAACGGAGGTTTGAAGGCTTCTATGAAAAAGGAAAAATATGTATAGTTACAGCAAGGAAATTAATACCCAGGGTGTTGAGGAGCCACCTTAACATATAATGGCAGAGCTCTCCACAGGAGCTTACACCATAGCTTCCTGCTTTGTACCTGACACAATTCTACACCGACGATCACAAGAACAGAAACATTTGTACTTTACGGTCTCATCTACAGGACTCAAGACTCGCTAACGGAAGTACTGTTACATGTCATATTATCGTTTAAACTTGTTATCACCAACACAGAGTTCCCTTCCATAAGGGAAAATGCACTTTTGGAAAAAACCAATAAATTAACGTAACAACAAAAAAATCAACATTGCCTGCTAACTTCTGGATACAAAGGAACCACGTTTGTCTAGATGCCATACCTTTGCTAGTTCTTTTCGGCATCCTCTTGCTGGTCAGTTCTGAGGCCACAGGAATTTCATCAGGATCTCCTCCTTCATCCTCAATGGCCTACCGGAGACAGCAGTATGACATCTACTGTATTGTTTGCTAGTGTGCATTTCTATTGTTTTCGGATGGGACAGAGTCAAATTTCTTCACTAGCCTGTAAGGGGCTACGCTTTGAAATTGTGCCAAGAACAGCATCAATAACGCAGGGGTGTATTGCTCAGCAGCGCTAGCACAGAGTCAAGGCCTTTTATGGTCCTCATCTTTTGCCATCAGTGAGTACGCTGGGCATGCACAACAAGTTCAGAGAGGACAAAGCCAGGACAGCCGACCTCAACTGACCCCAGGAATACTCTGCATCATGCAATGCTGTACTTAGCGATAAAACTGGTAGGGTTAGAAGATGGTGGGGCTGACATTACCTGGGGACTGGCTGGGCATTGGTCAGTTGACAGGGAGAAATTTTCTTTTACATCGGTCCCCATGTGTTGCCTGATCTAGTTGAGAGGCGTCCCTGCCCATGACAGGGAGGTTGGATCAAATGACCTCTAAGGTCCCTTCCAGCCTAGGCCATTCTACGATTCTATGACTTGCTGTTCTTCCCCCCTCCCTGCCCTTTTTCCTCCTTTCTGTTCTCCCCCCTTCCATTTTTAAAAATTATTAAACTGTCTTATCTCACTCCAGAAGTTCTCTCTCACTTTTACCCTATCCAGCTGGGGGAAGGGAGGCAAGCGAGCAGACGCGTGGTGCTTAGCTGCTTACTAGCATTAAATCGCAACAGCATTTTTAAGGATTTATCAGATGGAAACATTTGTGTCTCACCCTAGTTCAGGTCATACGGTCAGGCAAGCAGTCATAACAGCTGTTAGAAACACTGAATAGTAAGGTTTTGTAACACAACCCCACAGCCATATCTATGACTGAGTACAAAAGTTCCCCTCATCTGTAAACAAGGCCCCTGCTCAGCAGATAAGCACTTTAACTGTATAACTCTGAAAGCAACTGCTACAAGAACTCATGAGCATCCAACTTCTTTTCGCAACGTGCAGGCCTATTAGAACCCATAAAAGGGTCAGGATCGACAACGCTGTTCTGGCGCCCTGGAAGTCTGCGAAAATACATTCCGGAAAGGTTGCAGAAATGCAGCCAGGTGAAGCGCATACAGAGGAAACGAGAAACACGGGGAAGGAGACCGCGCGTACAGGCTGCGGGAACGGAAGCCGAAATCAGGGAAGGACGCGCATACATCAGGGACAGGGAAGAAGGGAACGACCAGGGCCA